CCCCGGGAGGGCCCCCGCGTCGCGTCCTGCTCAGCGCCCCGCGCGGACCACAGGCGGCGCCCCACGGCCCTCGGCGTAGACCGGGCAGACGAGCGGCCCGGCCAGCCTCGAGCCCAGCCCCAGCCCCAGCCCTCCCCGGGGACTGCGCGCACCTGCGGTCCCCTGGACCCGGCCCAGCCCGCCTGCGTCGGTCCGGCCAGGCAGCGGACTGTAATTTACCAGCGAACCGGGAAGATCCGGTCCACGCCGAGAACCTTTGCAGACCTGCTACTCGACTTGGCCTTGTCCATGTGTTGGGGGTTCTCGCTAATAAAATTGTGGTATAGTTTAACAGTCAGTTTTTGGTATTGACTTTTTTGAAAGGAAAAAATGAGTGTCATAAAAGGGAACAAGAAGAAATAAGATACAGTTGCCCGTCACTGGCTTTCTGTTCAGTAGCAAATTGGAGGACTCTGTTAAAAAAATCAGTAAAAATGAAAATAAAAACAAAACTCAAAAACTTGTGCGCATAGCTTTGTTCGTAACGCAGTGGTTAATTTAACCTGCGACTGGCCACCTCCCAGAGAGTAATGTAGGTGTCTGGTGTTCAAATTCAGACCTGGGTTTTACTTGTACTCCCATTCCTGGGGCATTTGTAAATGACCTGTCACCTTCTCAGCAAGGACCCGAAGCCTGACCTGACAACCATTCACAGTGTGGTTCGGTCCTGTTGCCCTGCCCTGAGCTTCCCCCCTGACCAGCAAGCATCAGCACGTGGACGTGAACGGTCCTTTTTGTCTTCTGGGAGTCAGTCTCTGCTCCTGGGTGTTCCCTTCTGGGGCTGATTTCAGTGGAAGAAAGTAACGGAAATCTTAGGATTCTCAAGAAGCCATCCTGTCACACACAGTGCAGTGCTGTGGCAGTGAGCCAAAGTTGGGGGATAAAAAGTGCTCCCTGTAAGTCTATGCAGTTATTTTCAATATCAAAAGTATTAGATTTAAAATAAGATTGAGTAATTTTAATTTGTTTACTAATCTGGAATTATGGGAGATTGGGCAGACAATAGATTATTGAATAATACTGTTTTGTAGAAGAAACTGAGCCATGTCTGGGTAATTTCTATTTCTTTATCAAAACTCCAATCAAGCATCCTTCTTCCACATAGCTCTTTGTCCTTTCAAGCTAGATTAAATTCTTGTTCTTTTTCTTTACACGGTGACATGACCGTGCGTGTAAAGAACCTGGCCTCACATGTTCCTTTGTCTTCTGTCACGGGAGCCACTTCAGGGTGAGCCATTGCTGGTTCTCCATTTTCTGGTACAGTGACCAGGAGAAGGTACTTGGGAAATGACTATGGGGTGAAACTCTATTTAATAATGACTAGACAGGGACCAGCAGATGGCATAATGGTTATGTTGCTCGATTCCCATGTAGCTGACTGCAGTTCGAATCCCGGACCTGGAGGCTTAAAACTCATGCCAGGTGCGTGTGTGTGCGTTCCCAAAATCCCTAGAGGAGAAGGGTTTGCAGTGTGGCCATCCCTCATGTGGGATGATTTCTCCCTGTCTCTCTGTCTTTCCAGTGAGTGCACACATCTTATACTTAAAATCTCTCTCTCAAAGAAAAAGAAATGACTGGTAACTTTTACTCATTTAATATGGAAATTAACTCAATATGTGTTTATTACTGTACTGAGGCTGAAAAGATTACTGAGACATGATCCTTGCCTTCAGTAACGAAGATATATGATGTTTTATATAAACTTACACAGAAGTATTTCAGGAATGAAAGAAGTTTGGTGAAGCTAGTGTAAGTATAAATAGGTAGGTAAAAATAATTACCCTTTGTAAAAATATTTATTGCACATTGCTGTGTCAGGCACTCAGTGATATGCTAGGGAAACAACTGTCAAGGTTTTTTTTTACTCAGAATCAGGGTCATAATTAGAAATTTAAAAATATATCATTAAAATTATTTTTAGATGCTAGAAAGTAAACTAAAAGGCAATGATCTAAGATTTTTTTGGACAGGTCGTTTGGAGAAGATTTCTGAGGAATAAAGGGTGGAGATAGGACTGACTGTGAGAATGTCTCCACGTGAGGGAAGAGCAGGAAACAGTGCCCTATCATGGCATAAAATTTGAATATGAAGGATGAAAAATAGAACAAGACAAAATAAAGCAAAATACTGCAAACACTGGAACAAACAGAGCTGAGGACGTGGGTGGAGAAAATCATGTTGAGTCCTGTGACCAGCGTTCAGGACTCTGGAATTGGTTAAATTCTAATGACAAACCACTACGGGAATTTTAATAGAGTACTGATGTGGAAGGATGTTTAACACTAGCTACCTGGTTAGGCAGACAGGTGGTCAGATGCTAGCCGCCTGGCTAGAGGGATGGGTGGTTAGACACTAGCTGGCTGGTTAGGCGGGTGGGCGGTTAGATGCTAGCTGCCTGGCTAAACAGTTGGGTGGGTGGGTACAGGAGACTGCAGTTACGTTCAATGAACTCTTGAGAGAGTTTGTAGAATTAGTATTAAAATTTTCCAAGCAAAAGAGAATCCTTCATATGATTAAAGTCGTGACCTCAGGGATTACGATGCATTGTTCTCTTTCGTCATCTTGCACTTAGTATTTCCTTAGGGGGCATGCTATCCCTGAGGGCCGGCTCTTAGTGCTCCTTAGAGTGGAATATGGGATCCCGAGAAAGCAGGACTGTGGGCCGGACCTGAGAGAGGGGGTGTGTCCATGCCAAGCGCAGTCCGACACCTCTACATACGGACTGTGCTGAGGAGAGCATCTTTCTTTGTGTGTAATAGTTCCTTATATTTTAGAAAATGGTGCATCATCTGGAGGGATAACTTCGAAATATTTTTCCTGAATCCCTGCTGGACTGACACATGGACTGTAGGCAACACTCCTTGTCAGAGCTGACTGAAGTGAGGGGCTGATTCAGTTGTTCATTCGTCTAGCTGGGATCGTACGTCTTCAGGGCTATCCGTGTAAGGCATTTACTGTGTTTTCATTTGCAAGCCATAAACTTGGTTATAAAACATTGTTTATTGAGTAAAAGTGATTTTAAAATTTGAAAAGTTAAATAATGATTTCATGCGTTTTTTAAAGAATGTATTCAGAAGCTGTTTTAACTTTCAGTTTGTGTTTCCAGAGGAAGAAACAGACTATGCAAAGAAAAAGCTATGAGCTCACGGATCAGCAATGAGTTGGTGGAATGGTCTTGTATCAACGTCATGGCAGCAGTGAGTAAAGGTAACTAGTAGCAACGTTCTGAGGAGGAACAGCACTGGTGAGAGCCTGGCCACACAGATGCTTCGGGCAGTGCCAATGGCTTCGTGAATTCATGAGGATGACCCCTCAGTTTTGGGGTCAAAGCGCTATCTGATGTGCCTCCTTAACAGAAATGCACGCGGTTTTCTGACCAGATGGTAGCCTGGACAGCTGTTCTCCTGGACAGCGCTTGAACTCCTGTTATAATCAAGATCACAGTTTTGTAACTCACCCTTTCACAATGCAATTTTCTTCTCTAGCCTTTCATTCCATTTCAGGACAAAGGAAGAATTAGTCAACAAAAGAAAATAAAAATTCTAATTACTGAGATGAGACCAAATGTCCTTTGCAAGAATGAAGTGAGTCCCCTGTCACAGCAAAGTTGAGTGAGGGACTTCCTCTGGCTAGCTCAGATCTTGCTGTATCCTTTTCTGCCATCAAGTGGCCCATTCACATAGAGTAAAAGTGCTTACACCTATTGCTTGGGCTGTTCCATTAACAGTGTTTCTAGACCGCTACCCAAGCTCACACTGTGCTTTGAGGCCAGAGAGCAGCCCCCTGGCGTTAAATCCCAAACACTGGCTTCATTCATACCAGGGTTTTTGACCGAATCTCCCAGACCCTGCAGGGCTGCACTGTGTCTGCTGGTGCTGCTGTCACCCCTGCCCTGACCCCGTTCTCGGTTCTGGCCAGAGCCCAGCCCATCAGGGCTTGCCTGTATGTGTTTATCTAGCCCCTCCTCCTCCCCTCATCCCAAGAGGAGCACCTCAGGAGTTTGTCTGAACCAGGAGAAGCACCGAGTCCTGCCCACTGCTGTGCACTGCGAGCACCGAGTGTGTAAACGTCCAGTTCAAGGACGCTCCTGAGGCCAAGATGGTCTGGGACGCTCAAAGCTGCTGCAGAAAATGTTTGTGTGTGTGTTTGTTGGTTTTTGTTTGTTTTTAACCGCAACGAGCAGTTTGGGAGGCAGCAGAGACCACAACCGGCAAACTGGGGAACCACCAACCAGGACTGTGTGGAGGCCCCTGGAGTGGACCGGGTCTTCTCCTCAACAGGCCCCGCTGAGGTCCGGGGCACCAGCACCCCACTCCGACTCTGGTTCTGCCTTGGAACTTTTTTGTGTGGTTCTCTCTTCACTCTAAGCACGTTTCCTCTCTGGAGTGACAGGAATGGGAACACTAGTGTCACTGTGGAGACAATTTAACAGATAGTACAAGTTACATTCCAGAAATGAAGCTGGTCACCTCGGCCCTCTGCAGTGTCCTCCAGGGTGGCCAGGGGAGCTTGCGACTTTGCTCCTGACTCGGTTTTCCAGGACTCCTGCATTCACAGCGAATGTAATTCCAGTTCCTTACAGCCCTCTCACAGGCCCAGAGAAACGGAAATCAATGCCCTCATTTTAGGTGTGGACGTACTTAGTTCCAAGAACAGAAGCTCATTTCCAGAGGGAGCGAGTCTGTAGTCACCCTCAGCACAGAGCCGGGTCTGCCTCCACCTCCTGGACAGCTGCACAGAGATCCCAGTGCTGCCGCTGTTTCAGGAGAGACGCAGCATGCCGGAACATCTGTGCTTCCCAAAGGGTGAGGCGGAGTAGAAGCTTCTTATAGCAAAGCATTGAGAGGAGACTGTGTCCTGCTGCAGACAGGGACGGTCAGGGACATTCAGGGACAGTCAGGGACAGCCGTGCCTCCTGCTGCAGAGACAGCTCTCAGGGACAGTCAGGGACAGCCGTGCGTCCTGCTGCAGAGGCAAGGCTCTCAGGGACAGTCAGGGACAGCCATGCGTCCTGCTGCAGACACAGGGCTCTCAGGGACAGTCAGAGACAGCCGTGCGTTCTCTTGCAGACACAGGGCTCTCAGGGACAGTCAGGGACAGCCATGCGTCCTGCTGCAGACACAGGGCTCTCAGGGACAGTCAGAGACAGCCGTGCGTTCTCTTGCAGACACAGGGCTCTCAGGGACAGTCAGGGACAGCCGTGCGTCCTGCTGCAGAGGGAAGGCTCTCAGGGACAGTCAGGGACAGTCATGCGTCCTGCTGCAGACACAGGGCTCTCAGGGACAGTCAGGGACAGCCGTGCATCCTCCTGCAGATACAGGGCTCTCGGGGACAGTCAGAGACAGCTGTGCGTCCTCCTGCAGATACAGGGCTCTCAGGGACAGTCAGGGACAGCAGTTGGTCCTGCGGCAGACACAGGGCTCTCAGGGACAGTCAGGGACAGCCGTGCATCCTCCTGCAGATACAGGGCTCTCGGGGACAGTCAGAGACAGCTGTGCGTCCTCCTGCAGATACAGGGCTCTCAGGGACAGTCAGGGACAGCCATGCGTCCTGCTGCAGACACAGGGCTCTCAGGGACAGTCAGGGACAGCCATGCATCCTGCTGCAGACACAGGGCTCTCAGGGACAGTCAGGGACAGCTCTGCATCCTGCTGCAGACACAGGGCTCTCAGGGACAGCCAGAGAACCTCGGGCTTGTTTACGAAGCACCTGCTGGGCAGGGCTGCTCTGGAGGCTCCCTCAGGAATGCGCTGGTGATTGGCCCCTGCAGAAGCAGAGGAGGCCATGTGCCCACCCCTCCCCAGGCCACATTCTAAGATGACAACCGTCCTGCTCAGGTGGTAGTACCCCGGGAGAGCAGGCATGGGCTCTCTGTGAGAAGGAACCCACCAAGGTATCTGATCCCACTGCAGAGTGACGCAGAGCTACAGGACCGTTGGAACAGCTGTACTGCTGCACTCATGTCATCACCTGAGAGACCTCCCATATTTTAGAAACGGTTTCTCTGAAACTAAGGACTCTAGTCATTTGCAACTGCTGTACAAAGTATGCTTTGCCTCTCCTCCGTCACCATGTCCTCGTTCACACCACGTCCCTGCTCTCATCTGCGACCCATCACTCCCTTGCCACATGGTCTTGGCTTGTCCTACCTCTGTCGCTTGTTTCTGATTCCTTTTCCTTCTCGCGTCCGTCTTTACTGTCTGAGCAGAGTTACCGTGAAGTGAGAGCATGCGGAGATCACCTGAGGCCATTTCATGCCCTTTGGTTTTTCTCCCAACGAGTCTCATGGAATTATGTCTTCCGTTGACATTGTATTTAGGTCTGGAGGGGACAGTGGGACTTCCCGGTGTCTCGGGATTTTATTATAGATTAGCAGAAAAATGCACATGGAATTCCCTGATCAGTGTTCTGTTCACAAGTGCCCATGAATGCATTAACCTTTAGAGGGCAAACAAGCTGGCCTGAGGCTGAGCAGAGGTGGGACAGCAGAACACCCCCTTTCCCACCCTGTGTCCCAGGCCCCAGGCACTCTCCCACCCACGCCCCTTCCCACCCCTCTGTCCCAGGCACTCTCCCTCTCACTGGGCCATTGCTGCATTGTCTGACATAGCATCTCTGCACTCGTCATCCTGAAAGTGTGCATGGGAGGTTGTCGTGCTCACAGGGACTTCCAGGACCCTCACGGCATGGCCAAGTGCATTACGCTGCCTCCTGGTCCTGGACCTCCCCTCCACACTCAGCCAATGAACAGCAGGGCCAGCAATGCCAGTTTTCTTAGGGCTTTGGATCATGCACACACTGTTTCTTCTTCCTTGGAGTACTTCATGTAACCAAAGAGCACCTTATAATCTTAAAAATGCACCGGGGTCTGCCCCTGGAATCTGCCTTTCATGGCCGTCTCCCTCTGCTGTGGTGGGATGAGGTAGGTTCGGTGAGCGCCCTACTTGCCTCTGTTTAATATGTTCATTTTTGGGTTCACTTTTCCTTTTCTGGGAGCCTACAAGGTTCTTGATAGCAAAACTCACTACTGCACCCATAAATCTTTCTGATTTCATCTTGCTCATTCCAGCACAGGGCCTGGAGCACAGTATACATCAAGTGAATGTTGGTGGTAGATGAATTGAAATGATGTCCAATAAGATAGTTGAGTGACAGCATTTTATCTAATATATAAAGTTAAAAAGATGAGGTAACATGTCTTCGGTGTGCTTATAATTGAATGGAGCAGTGTGTGAAAGTTAAATATATGGAGGTATCAGTATGGAATGTGAAACATGAAGTGAGTTCTACGCTCTATCTCAGTTTCACTCATGTGCATGTACACACATACATGTGCACATGTAAGCAAACACTGATTGATGGCTGACTGATGTGCAGGTGCCTTAGACACTTTGCCACGTGCACTACTGTGTGCTTGCTGTGCTCACGCTGACACTGCCATGTGCTTGCTGTGCTCATGCTGACATGCCGTGTGCTTGCTGTGCTCACGCTGACATGCCGTGTGCTTGCTGTGCTCACGCTGACATGCCGTGTGCTTGCTGTGCTCACGCTGAGATAACCCGTAGTCTGTGTAACTTGTAAATAGTGCTTTGAAAATAGCCTGATACCTGTGTCCTGAGCACTTCTCTGTGTTCGTGATCGTAGACACATGTCCATTCTGTGGGGTACTACTGCTTTCTGTGGTTTGCAAGTAGTTCTCCTCAATGCAAAATGTACAGAAATCCTTTATTGATTTTCATTACGTTCTTCACCGTGTGCATTGCAGAATGGCCACGGTGCCGGAAGCCCTGCTCCAGCCAGGGTGGGTTGAGACTTGTACACAGGAAGGCAACACGGGTGATCAGGAACAAAATTTAGACTGAGACCTCAATACTCTTTAGCATGTTCTCAGCCGGCTACAGCCAGAGCCTGCTCCAGACTGCAACCTAGGAATCATCGTGCCTTTTTATTGAAAATGTGATACATGCAAGTAAATGGGTGAGGGGCAGTAAAAGATTTACTCTAAGGAACAGGGTATACAAAGCATGGAAGCAATAATTATAAAACATGCTGTTTGTCTTGTCAGATCAGGTAAAATCAATCACAGTTCTCAGGATGAGGAAGTCCATTTGTCTGGTGCATTTTCTTCTTAGATCTTGATTACCGGGAAGGGTCTTTCAAAGAGGGGGCTTGCGGGGAGCTTGATGACTTCAGTCCCAGGCCAGGGTGGCAACATTTCTGGTAACAAAGGCCAACATTGAAATCTTGTCTTAAGTAAAGACAGTTAATATATGGACTATCTATATCTTACAGCTAAAGGGGTGAGCCTACTGCCCATATGGGAAAGGAAGATGATCTTGTAGCTCAGGAGACAACACAGGATGTTTTGTTAGCAGTTTTTCATAGTCAACAGCACATAGATGAGAAACTCTTTGTAGTTGAAAACTACCTGTTGCTTTAGATAAGAGCTCCCAGCTAAGGTAGTTCATCTTGCCCTGGAGCCTTCAGGTTTGTTCATCCTGTAGTCGTCAGCCAGGCGTTTCCTTTCTTTATAAACCCGCGGGTTCCTGTGTTTTATTTGATGAGTCTGTCAATTAGTGAGTTCTTTTGCTTTATCTTTGAGTCCCTGTCATGTGCTGGATGTGCTAACTTGTCCTAACATGAGTTAATTTTGCCCTCAGCTTTAACAAGGGGTATTTACACAAAATTAGCCTTAAACTAACTTAGTCTACATATGCTACTAACGCTAATTTGGCTTATACTAACTTAACCTAACATATGTTAATTTTGGCTTAAAACAGGCAGGTAGGGGAGTCTCAAACTTCCTGGTCCTCCTGTGCTGTCTTAGGAAATCACATTCCTACAGGATCACTAATTGGCTTTACTGTAAAGTTGCAGTAAGGTTGGGGTGATATTTGACCCTTGCAGGGTACCGTAATAACAGTAAAGCTCACGGCAGAGAAATTGAGTGCAGGCCAGTACAGCGACACAAGGGGGACTCATAAACCACGGCCTTGCCTCGCAGTTTCTTCCCAGTCCAGGCCTTGCCTTAGGGATGGGAGGCAGCCTCTTTACCAGCTTGTGTTGTCTGCATGGACCCGTCACCACGGCATCTGCTCAGTGAACAAACACTGAGCTCAGTGCACACATATTTACTAACAAACCGCTTTTTGGGAAACGTGCCAGATAGAAGGACCGTAAGACAAATGGCACATGATGCTCGCTGTCTTTTAATGCGAATGTTGGTAAATACAGGAATGCATGCAGAGTATCTTAACAATTAATTGGAAATGTGACTTCTCTCTAAAGATGTTCTTGTTAGTTGAACCTAATCTTAAAGGATGTGTAAAAGTGTCTGAGTGGGGTGGTGGGTGAATGGCGTGACTCACATGTTCAGACTCGGCAGTCGACACCCACACCCTGAGCTTGGAGAACTGACGGTATGCCTGTGAGGGTGGGGCTCCCCTGGCTCGGACGTGGCCGCATAGCCTCCGAGCCGGGCTCAGGCATGATCCTCCAGGAGCTTGTTGAACTCCTGGCAGACTTTTGTCCCTGCCTTTAATACCCAGTAGGCCCTCGTTACACCATCTGCTCACATGCCTTCACCACCCTGGGGCAGGTGCCGTGGGCCTGCTGCTGGGGCTTACACGGTGCACACACTCTCCCTGCAACAGGAGAGTGGGCACTTGTCACCTCAGCGGTACAGAAAGGCAAGTTGAAGCTCAGTGGTATCCGGGGCTTTGTTCAAGGTGCACCACGAACACAGAAGACCAGGAGTCACGCCTAAGCCTTCGGTCACCTGTGTCCTTGAGTCCCCATCACACTGCCCAGACTTCACTGTATGATGGTGGCAACAGTTGCATGTGTGTCCAAGGACAATGTGCGAGGCCCCCGTGCAGTCCTGGGCTTAGGGACCTGGTCATAGTCCATTTCTGTAATATGAAATACAAGTTTTGAAAACTTCAGTCAAGACTACAAACTTGGAGGTAGCAAGACGTGTAGTTAGCAAACATTTAAACATTAGACAAGATTGTTGTTAATTAAATAACTGTAGAGTGAAGACGTAGGGTCTTGAAGTGGCCCTTTTGGTAGCATTAATTTTATAAAAAAGGCTGGGAATGACAGTGATTGATTCGCCATTGTCACATGTTAGTGCTTATAGTCACCGGCGTCCCCAGGCTTATTGTTATTTGTTTCGGTCATATGAGTTACGTACCTGATTTCTGTGTTCATGTGTGTCTTCATCATGGAAATACCACATCAGTAGCTGGTATTACTGTGTTATAGGCTTGAGGAGGGACAGAGGGGCAAAGTCTTATTCTAAGAAGAACATCAAATGTTTTTGGTTTTGGTCTTAGAGATTTCAGACATGACCATCTGGTCCCTAGCACCTGCTGACTCGAGGATGGGTGAGTTCATGTGTTTACCGACTCCTGCTCCTCCAGTGCAGGGCTTCCATCGCTGCAGTTCCTTCCTGTCCACCAGCCGAGGACCACTGGTGATCAGATCACAAGGACATCACTTAGTGAGCTCTCTGCAGTCTTGTTTTTCCATTTGTACTTTTATCACGGTCACAGTCTCGATCTTTGACACTGAGTGCCCACAGTCACGTCACTCGCCTGCCCAGCCCTGGACTAAGGGGTTCCCTGTCTCAGTCTCCTGTGCCAGACAATAACTCTGCCCCTGTTATGTGCTAGTCAAATAATATCTGCTGACATTTATGACCCGCAAGAAATGGACTCAAATCTCCTTTGCAAGGACTGTATTCTGTGTCAGCCCACACCTGCAGTGACCACACTCCAAATTTAGCTCCTTTTTTATTACTATGACACCTTATAAAGGACCCTCTCCCTGTCTGTCCTTAAGCTGTTCTTTAGGCTTGGGCTGCTTGCTGTGTTTCCAAGCAAGGCATCACCACACTCCTTAGCTCAGCCGTGCCTTCCCGGTAGACGCCCCCTCCCTTGCATTCCTCAGTGATAGGTGATGTGACGTGACATGACGCACCTTCTGACATGCTTCCTCATGTGCCTACCTATTTATCCATTTAGTCCATTATGAGAACACTGCATTTCTGTAATGTGTAATTTCCCAGTGTTCTCATAAAATTTCATTCCTTTACACTGAAGGTATTAGTGGGGATAAAACTGGGGAATCCCTAAGTCTTGATAGAGTCTAATTTTTGTTCTATCCTTGAGGTGGACAGAAGACCAGTGACCAGCGTGCATGATACTTCATGGGAGTCACCAACGCTCCACAGTGTTCTCCACTCTGGCCTTCTCCTTCTCCACCAGTTTCCAGTCTTACTTCCCAGAACTCGCTCCGTAGTTGTCAAATAGTTGACAAGATGCTTCGAATTTCTCCCTAGTGTGATTTCACCTCTTGAAGCAGGAGCAATGTGGGGGACGAATACCAGCACCCTGGCAGGGTTCATTCTGAAAGGGTTTTCAGACCGACCTCAATTAGAACAAGTTCTTTTCGGGGCAGTTCTGTTTCTTTACCTCATGACCCTTCTTGGCAATGCTACCATCATCCTCATATCCATCTTGGACTCTAAACTCCACACTCCCATGTACCTTTTTCTCTCCCACCTCTCCTTCCTGGACCTCTGCTTCACCAGCAGTATCCTCCCTCAGCTCCTAGTCAACCTGGGGGGTTCGGACAAGGCCATCACCTATGGTGGCTGTGTGGTCCAGCTCTACGTCTCCTTGGCACTGGGATCCACAGAGTGTGTCCTCCTGGCCGTGATGTCCTATGACCGCTATGTGGCTGTTTGTCGTCCTCTGCACTATGCCTTTGTCATGCACTCTCGGCTCTGTCACATCCTGGCATCCATGGCGTGGCTCAGTGGGGTGGCCACTACCCTGGTGCAGTCCACTCTCACCCTGCAGCTGCCCTTCTGCGGCCATCGCCAGGTGGACCATTTCTTCTGTGAGGTCCCCGTGCTCATCCAGCTGGCCTGTGTGGACACCACTTTCAACCAAGTTGAGCTCTTCGTGGCCAGTGTCTTGTTCCTGGTGCTGCCTCTGTCACTCATCCTGACATCCTACGGCCACATCGCCCGAGCAGTTCTGAAGATCAAGTCAGCCACTGGACGGCGCAAGGCAGTTGGGACCTGCTCCTCCCACCTGATGGTTGTCATCATCTTCTATGGAACCATCATCTTCATGTATCTGCAGCCGGTCAGGAGCAGGTCCAATGACCAGGGAAAGTTTGCCTCCCTCTTCTACACTGTGGTGACCCCCATGCTTAACCCCCTTATCTACACCTTGAGAAATAAGGAAGTGAAGGCAGCACTAAAAAAAATTCTGGAGAAAAGTTTATGACGGAGTAAGGCTTGATGAGACATTTGGGAGAGACTTGCTATGATTGCTTCAGATAGTGGATAAGGGCTCGGCTCACAATTCGGCCACCGTCATGAGCCTATTAGTGGGTCCTTGCAGAAAAGTTTAAGTTAGAGCTTGGATTTTAAAGTCAGATAGATGGAACGGTTTATGTGACCTGGTGTCATCTTTGAACAGGCTGCATAATATTAGCAACCCAATTAGAGTTAGATCACCGTCTTAGGCATTTTACTGTTTGAACTTTGTTCTATTTAGTAGTCACGACCTTGTGGTACATGGATCTTATTCTAATTTTTATTTTGCACAGATTAAAGTATCTTGGCCAGTTGCTCGGACAGGAAGAGCAAACCCTAGGCCTTGGTGGCCCTGCTCTCTGAACTCACCATGGCCTCCTGGACGTGCAGGCTGTGGCCAGCCCCTACACATCCCTGCACAGTGACCTCACCATGCTGCACTTCCTTTCCAGTATTGCACATTTTTATTTTTTGTATTTACCTTTTCGCTAGGTTTTTGATCATGGAAAATATCATATGGCTTAACTGCCTTAAATCAAAACCTTTACACAGGCGATGTGATGCTTCCATTCCATTTCAGTAGAGACATTTTCAGCCCAAATGCTCACATCATCTCCACGTTCACCTTCTCTGCCCAGGGTGTTAAAGGCAGCTGCAGAATTAACAGTGTGACTAAGTCACAATTATTGAGGGAGGGAGAATGCCCTTATAGCATTATCCTGATGGTCCAGCTCAATTTTTGGTAGATTTTCTGCTTCTATTTTTTTCCACTGCTCTTAATATTAGAGAATGGAATATATGCCATCTCAAATTCTGTCTTCTCTTACATCTGCTGTGCTCAGTCTACATACAATTCCATGAAACTTACCTTTTTCTTATCTCTTTACCACTTCTTCCCATTTTAATATTTTACCACCTGTCACATAGATTGATGAAATGCCTTCCCTACTAAAAAATGGACATTTATTTTATGGAGTGACCATTTCACCATTACCTCCTCTATCTTCTCATTCATTATGGAGTATGTGCAGTTTTTAACATTTCATGGAACTTATGCTTGTCTTATTCCTTTTAAGAAAAGAATCAGTTTAGTTGACAATTATTGAGGGATGGGAATGCCCCTATAGCATTATCCTGATGGTTCAGCTCAGTTTTTGGTAGATTTTCACTCTGCGATGATATTTATTATCAAACCACAGAAGTTAATTTAAGAGAAAAGTCTTTCATTTTGAGCAAATTATTTGTAAAATAAAATCTGTATCCATCAGGCTGTAAAGTTAATGGTGGCATACTTGATTTAGAATTTTGTATTAATTTGATATGCTTACAAACAACATCAATCAGTGACGTGCCACCTTGAGGAAGAGGAATTTATATTATTTGCTAAATTAAATATGTTAACGCGCATAAGAAAAGAGAGACTCCGTGGATGAGTTTCGATGTCTGTGGTGGGAGCCGCGTGTCTGAGCAGCACCATCTGTATAATGTGGCAGTGGGGCCACTTTTCCTTACGAGTTGGAAGAGTCCGAGGTACAGTTTGAGGTACTTCTCCCTTGTGCTGAAGAAAGCACACACACTTCTGATTTTCAAGTAAAATGGAGAATAATGATCAGAAGAAAATAAAAGGGAATGAAAATAGACTCATTAGGACACAGAATTTGTACATTGTTGGTGTGATTGGGCAATTAGGCAGTAGAGGGAGAATGGGTATTTGCCTGTTTTGAATCAAAATACAGTCACAATGTTCACTTTATTATTATTATTTATACATTCAGTAGCTATAAATCATTTAGATTGTAAAGAGACTGTACCCAGTGTGATATACACCACACACCAGGCGAGTTGAGATCCTACACACGACAGCAACAGGCGACAAACCATATCTGCGTCCCACAAATGTCTCATTTCTCCCTTTTCTGCAAATTTCCCTTCCTGCACTCCCTCTCTCCCACTTTTGCAGGTTAACTGAAGCACTATAGGAGAGGGATAAGGACAGAATTATTCACTTGTCTGACAACAAGGTGGGGGTGTTTCCCGAGTGAGAACAGCTGGCGATCCGGCTGACCGGCCCTGGGCTCACTGTGGCGTTTCTCCGGAGGTTCCTCCTGTGTGTCCGTGCCCTCAGGCTTCGCGCCAGCGCCACAGTGGAGCAGGGATGCACTTAATTGGCAGACTTCTGGGAACTGCCAAGGTAATTTGCTGATGGCGTTCTGCACGACTCTAAGAGGCAGGCAAAAAGTCACACACAGGCTGTTATTTCGTGACTGTCTCCGGCATCCTCTGTTGGTGGACATTTTAGTGGGTCGCACATTTCCAGAGGAAGGATGGGCGTTCTCAAAGCTTCCTGGCATTGTGGTGATGCCACATAAACAAACCACCTATTTTTCCTTCCTGGCATAAACCTTTCTCTTACTGAGGAGGTGCCACTGGGGCTTCTCACTCTGGACTTGTCTTTCTGGGGTGAGTGCACTGGGGATAGCTCCCCTTCTTCTGACTCATTTTCAGTCAAATCCCTGTACTAGCTTAGAAGCTGTTTTATTCTTAGCGAGGTAGGAATGAGCTTTCCACATCACCACAGGCTGCGTGCAGTAGCAGGGATGTCTCCCAGAACTGCTGCAGAGACTGCATCCAGGAATGTAGCTTCTGCTTCTCGCTCTGCTGCTGCTCCTGTCACCGAGGCTCAGACTTCCTCTGCACACACTCAGCAATTATCCTGCCTGTTCAGACTGCTCGGAGGGGAGAGAGGGCGCCTACTCCCATGTGCCGACTTACGGACTACGTGCAGTGAGACGTAGGTTCCTGGGCACCCTCCGCTTCGCTCTCTCAGACTCACATTTTTCCCCATCTGCCTGTTCTCAAACTGCCTTTCCGGTATGGGTCTTTGACCTGAGAAAGCCTATTTATTTCCTCTTAGAACAAAGGCAGCTGGAGACACCAAGGTGAGAAAGCACATTCCTGGCCTGAAAGGGGTGCACAGGCGGGAGAGAGCCGCTGCAGCTGTGAGGCCCGACCCGCAGCGCTGCAGCTGAGCAAGCCGCGGGTCTTTCCACGTCTCCATTTTAGACGCTTTTCTCATGAAATTGCTAAGATCTCCATTTCTTTGTTTTGATCTCATATTTTTAGATGCCTAATATCGTATCTTCTCAAAGGTGATAAAGAATGGATTCAAAGGAATCATCTTTGAGCTTTCGATGTTCTACAAATTAAAAACCAAACTCTCACAGTCTCTGTTTCTCTCACTATCTCCACCAAGTGCATGTATCCTAAGGCAAAAACCCTCTTAAAAAAATGTATATTCTACACATTACGGGTTTTTTAGAATGATTCTTGCTATTGGGACCAGAGACAGAGAGAGAAAGCAAGAAATCACCCCACCCCCCACCCCCAGGGCTCTGACTGTGCTGCGATCCCTTTTCTTCCATTCTCCTCTCGGATTTTGGGCAGGCATACACACATGCCCAGTTTGAGTTTCAAGCCTCTGGGTCTGGACTTGAACCGCGGTTGGCCATGTGGGAGTCTATGCCTTAACCACTATACCACATGCTGATCCCTCTACACCTAACTTTTGATTTGGGGGGGGGACTTCTTTTCTCTTTTTGTGTTTGTATGTTTTATCTCTCCTTTTTTTTTTTTTTTTGAGAGGTTTTTTCTACAGGGCATGTGCACTCACCAGAAAGACAGACAGAGACAGAGAGACAGAAAACAAGAAATCACCTCCCAGAGGGGATGGCCACTCCACAATCCCTTCTCCTCTATTCTCCTCTCAGGATCTTCAGCACACACGCACACACGCCCAGCATGAGTTTAAGCCAGGTCTGGAACTCGAACTGCGGCCAATTACATGGGAGTCCAGCGACATAGCCATTATAGCAACTGCTGGTCCCTGTTTTATCTTATTTTTATGGGATAATTTTTTAAGTGTGTGAAGTCTAAGCATGAAAGCCGTGCTTAGAGACAGTCACAGGGCCTGCTCTCTCATCAAGTACATGAGATCATTTGCTTGGACTTCTCTTTTTTTTAAATTTGAGTTATTTATTTATATTTGACCAGAGAG